CTGCTGTATATGTCAGTGAGGCTCAGCAGTCGCTATTTGCTGGAAAGCTGAGAGAGCCCTGGCCTATTAATACTGATCCTAACCCAGCTGCGCTCTGCTGGCTGTGTGCTGAGATTTGAAAAATCCCAGACACAGACTTGACCCACTCTTGAGCTCGTGACATTTGGATCACAGAGCTCAATCTGTGCTTGGAGCAAGCGCCATCACTGACGGAGTCGCGCAATATGATATTTGAAACAAATTTGTCCTCTGGCTAGTTGTGTTTCACTGCAACCAACTTCTGAACTGATGCTTGAAGGCAAAGAACTCAAAACTTTTCTATTACGCCCACACCTAAAGAGAATTTAAACACGAAGAAACTAGAGAAAAGAAACACTGCTGTCAACTTCAAACACATTGAAGGGTAAAAAATAAACCACTATTAATTGCAAATGAATCCTAGAAAAAAGTTAAACCACAACACATTTCATAGGCTTAAAGACACAATTAGTAATTAATAAGAAGAGACTTGTAACTGTCTCTTGGGGTCTCAGAAGAGGTTGGTACATACTTTACTTCTTAGTTAAATGCCAAGGATGTTCATACAGACTTTAAGGGATTTTCAAGATGCCAGTCACATAAAACATAGAAGGCAACGGAGCATCTGGTGCACAATAAACAGAATGCCCACTGGGACCCTGAAGCACCATGCATCTTTTACTAACCACTATACCCGGATACGACACCAAAACCTGAAAACAATCATGTGTTTTATCAACATAATCATGCAACATTTAAGAAGTGTTAAACACTGGAAAAGAAATGTGGATTAATACCCAAATCTAATATTCAATTGTCATAAATTGTACTCTGTTGTCTTTAAAAGTATTGATGATACATATTATACATACCTTTACTTTGATTAAACACTGAATTGTTTGGGACAAGGAATTCAAGAATAAAGGATAATTCTCTAACGTATCAATGACAGGAGATGAGGTGTTTAATTAATTACTTTTCATATAGAAAAGAAAATACTCAGTATCCATAAATCCAGTGTATAACAAAACAATTTCCCTGTTTTCATTATCAGACTGTCTTTGAAATATTTTGTCACAGTTTGTGGGTGCTCAAATTCCCTGACAATGTTATAATTTCGTTCGAAAGAAGATTGTCACACGTTTTTAATTAAAAATAAAACAACTGCTACTGCACTTGGCTCCCATGGTAGAAGAGAGGCTTCTATGGCTCAAGAAGGCAATGGAACTTTAGGCAGGTGCATGCAAACTGCTGCTGAGATTATTATTACTTTAACTCTTCTCTTTACTAAAAACTCTTCTCCAATGTCGCAGTTCACAAGTGGATAAGTATATATAGAATACCAATTCTCTTATAAAATTAGCAGAGCATATTTAAGACAATATGACAGAGCTCTGGAAAAGCTTGTGCCTAGCTGTGTAAATACCTGCAAATAAACATGAACACATGTACTGCATAGAAAGAACAGAAGGGATATAAACAAGAGGAATGTCTTGCAAAAGAGTATTTCATAACCAGTGGGAATTCCCATGATTAGTTAAAGTAACCATATCAAGTTTAAAAAAATCAAACTAAACTGAAACACAAAGATTGCAAACACTTATGAGCATAGATCGATAAAGTCCTGAAGAGCACATTTTATTGCCTGCTGGCCAAAGTTAACCCATTTAAGATGTGATATGCTAGATGCAGACACAAAATGCAGACTTTCACGACTTCAGAAATCTAAAAATATTTTCACGACAAAGACACTTTCCTATTGAAACAAACCTACCAATCACTGTTTCAACCACACTCTCCTGACAAAGCAAAGGTGGACTTTCTTTAATTACATTTGCTATTTGTTCTGGAAGAATGTATAGAAAATACAAATGGCAGAGCATTTCATAGTAGCAGTGCCTTGTTAACAAAGGCCAACCTGTCGGACTGAGATACCAGTTGTGTCATGGGTCCTACCAGCTGAGAGACAGTTGGGGGCCACTAAGGACAACCAGCCTGGTAAGGAGTAATCAGCCCTGACAGATACAAGTCTGCCTGAGGGAGAAGCTAAAAACCCAGAGTAAAATTTTTGCAAATCAATGAACAGTTTAATGGGAAGGCAGCAAAGATTTGACAAGACCAGGAAAACCCATTCTGTAATAACTCCTTCACTTCCCTTACGAATGTACAGAGCACTCTCAATTTCCGGCTAATGCTCTGCTGGATACTCAATTCGTTTTATTTACACCCCATGGACTCATTGAATTGACCATAAGATCTACTTAAATTCTTAAATTATAAGAGCTAAAAGCAGTTTTAAGGTCTTACAAACACCTCAATAAAAGAAAAAAAAAGTCTGGATTCTATCAAATGTTGTTTTATCCCATGCCACTTGTACATACTCCTTGTGTTATAGTGATCATTTTTAATAATTTCTATGTCACCCATATGGTCTTGGACAGCCTTTTATTAAGAAGCCCCCTGGAGAGCACACAGACATACAATGGTTTTCACAATCAATGAAGAGAAAAACAGAAGTGAGTTTTTCTGAACTGTTGCATTTTCCTTCGAGCTCCCTCACTGCTAGGTGAGAGGCCTTGCGCCCCTCACAACACACCATGCATTGCATCTCGCTGTAGAGAGCATCGAGCTTGCATCAACAACTTTCACTCCCCATGTTTGAAAAGCTGGGTTTGAATCCTGATCAACTCATGCCTTATACTTAGAAAAATAGTAATAGACTTTAAATAGTATTTAAAGAAACTGCAGATGAAAATTTTACAAGAATCATACATCAACCCTGGTAATGGTTTAAAATTACAAGGGACTGTAGGATCCTAAAAATACAGCATCACATCAGTACAGCACAGTTATGCGTCTCAATAACTCCATCCCATAGGTTGTCATCCAAAGTCTGACATACTGTATACCAGATTAAACATACTATTAAAAACTAGACACCTTCACTCATGCAGAACCCACAACACAAAGGAGATGGACATTAAGACAATCTATTCTCCTGACCTCCTGCCCCAGAAATATAAAACACAGCAGCAAACAAACATAATATGTCCTCACTGCACACCCAACCTTAATTGCAATATTCTACCACCTAAAAAAAATAAACTTGAACTTATCAGAAATCGAGCTTCCTTATCTGGCAGTCAAAAATGATTACTTAACGCCTTAGGAACAGAACGGTCATCCATGTACAGTGGATCATAATGGACGGTCATCCTAGCAGACTGGACCCTGGGGTCAGGCAAGGGAGACAAAAAGTACCCCACTTTTGTGGAGGACTCAAGCTCCATCTTCATATGATACCCTAAGCATTGTAGTACAATTCACGACATTGCTTGGACCTTCTCAACAAAGACTGTCCGTGACTGTAGGTTGTCATTGTGGTTGTCTGCTGTTTATTGAGAAAAAATCTGCAAAAGAACTGTGACACTGCTCATAAGCTTCTACGGGCTGAGATTTCAGACCTGTTGATCTGTGAGCCTGAAGATCAGAGTAAAAGGTTTATTAGATTCAGCTGGAGAACCACCATGAATGTGGTGAGATCTGTCTATCTCAACTGGAGCCGACGGAGAAGAGGCAAGATTAGTCATCCAGAGAAGAAGCACTTTTGCAGATAGCGGAAGGGATTGCTACCTTCTAGCCCTTCAGGTAAGCCAAACAGTCAGATTGTAGCGATCTGTCCTCAAGACCTTGTAACTTCTGCTAATATTTGTCAACCACTTGGAGGCAATGGTTAATGTTTTTGTCTGCCTGATGCAGCTCTGCTTTCACTGTGCTGTTATTATACCATGGATAGTGTTGGCTGGGGTTGTGAGAGCTTGCTTGACCAATGTCAGCTCCAACAGAAGGGGCACTTGTTTATAACACTTCCCACCAGACGGTAAATGATAATAAGCCGTCTGTTTTCTGGGCATGTCCACATGGCATGGAGGCTGACACAACAAAAAACCTGGACAGGTACTCTACTGTATGCAGTTTAAATCCAGTGACAGGAGGTGTGAGAAAGAAGCTCAGCAAGGCATGACCATCTTTCAGCCTGTGTCTTGCGATCCTGTGGATTGTGTCCTTTTTTAAATGACTAATGAATTATCAATGTAATTAATAGGCTATTAATAAGGTCTATTCCTTGCTGATTGTGAGCACCTGAAGAAGGCTCTATGACGGAAACGTTGTGTTTTCTTTCTTCTCTTTTCAGCATGGAATAAACCTATTACTTGTTCCTTTGCAGCTTACACATGCTGATGCAGCTATCCACCTGAACTATTAATATGTTCTATGCAATTTAAGTTATTTAAAAGACAATACAGAGTATTATGGAAATGTCAAAATCACCAAGAATTTTTTTACATCTGCTTTTCCTCTGTGTCAAATAACTCATCACCATCCTCCAGACACTTTGCAGTGTAAGGAGTGAATTTAAATTTCAACAGGGCTCTACTTCTTTATCAGCTCCCTTTGTCCTCCAGACACTGAAACAGTTTAATGAACATTTTCGAAGGCTTTTTTTAAAGAAACAAGTTTGTGAACTTTCTACTCAGCAATTACTCCTTTTCTTCCAAGTCCCAGTGGCTTTTTTGTGAGTTGTCTCATTTATTTCAATTCTGTATTTATCATAATTTCCCAAGTTTCTTTCACCATTTTTCTTATCAGTGCACCCACTCTCCCTAAAAGGTGAATTGCTCAGCGTGCACAGTTTCACCCTGGGTCTTCTTGGCACTAAAAAGAACTATACTAAATTGAAAAATCCTTGCTAGGAGGAAGAAGACTAAAACTAGTTTACTACACCCACAGCAATGTAATTAATTGTAGAAAGAGAATGTTGTCTTCTGCTTACCAAGCAGTCAGGCTATTTACAGTATATATTTTAGAAAATGTTAAACTGACTTGAAAGAATGTAGGGTACTCTATGTACAGCTATATGATATCACTTTATGTCTGATAAATCACAGCCCCGAACTCCCAAAGGTTTAATGATATCTTACCTTCTCATGTCTTCCTGTATGTAAAGTGTAATCAGCTGTTTGGGTATGTTAAAAGACAAAGTGCACTCGGCCATCTGCTCTCGAACCAGCATCCACTTGTTGTCAACAGTCTGAAATCTGTACACTTTGCAGACTGGATTTTTAAATACTGAAAGAAAAAAAAACACAACTGAATGTACTTCACAAGCAGTATGACTGCATCTCAATTAGGATCATATTTAGAACATATATTTACAAAGGAACAAGTAGTGGGTTTATTCCATGCTGAAAAGAAAAGAAAGGAAACACAACATTTTGGCTGTGGAGCCTTCTTCATGTGTGAGCATATATATTTACTGTATGAACAAAAGACACTACAAAGCTCGAAGCTCTCCTACGTAAGCCATTCATTTATTTTTTTACTTGCTCCAAATCGCCTTCCAGAAATGTTAGTACTGATTAGAGCCGCATGTCTCTCATTGATGTCACTGCAAGCTTGCAGGAACCCAGCAAGTAGCAGGAACCATGTGTTGATGAAAGCCAAGAGCCACGGCTGACTAATGCCTGTTCTACCCCAACGGCACTGTGACAACTGCGCAGTGTCTCTTAGGGAAGCCTGATTAGTCAGCTACTTACATGGCTCGGGACCAGATTGGTAACATCAGGACCAAAGTGTTGAACCTGCACTCTGAGCCACTTTGCAGCCCTGTCATTTATATTTTAATGGTATTTTTTTCAATAATCAAAAGTATTTTGGTATGTGTTTTCTTATAGAATGTTTTTTTTGTTTTTTCTGAAAGGATTTTCTGAGAGGTTCCTACGGCATATCTGAATGTTCCACTTCTTTATGTGACCAAGCATGTCTTTCAAGTAGAAGAAATATTATTTTTTCTTTTCCTGCCAAAGTGGAAGACCTGGCGCAGAATCGATCTTATGTCACAATCCTCTTTGGCAAGAGTATGTTATGATTTTCTGATAAGGGAGACATTTGTGCTTTATAGTCCACACGCATAAATAATGTATATATATATAGAATTTTAGATATATTCCAGTCCATTTCACAAGTCCAGTCCAGCACAATTACTTACTCATTAAACAGGATGACATTTATCATTCAAAATATATAATTAATTGCTTAGAAAAATCAATTCATTTAAGTGTTTTTGTTTCGTTTTTATTAGCAAAACAGCATTGTAAATAATAATGAGGGTATACTGTAAAGACTGTTAATGTTTATGATGCCTCAAAAATATAATTAATTCTACAAGTAACTACCTTTAAAGTGTTTAATAGCACTGGGTGAACTGAGGTAGGAACAACCTTAACACTCTTGTTAGCAAGCAACCCATACAGTGCTAAGGCAGGCAGCTGAGCTAATACGCTTTTCTATATGACTTTGCTTTAGGTCCCCAGATATGTGAAAAGTTAAATCCTAAGTGAGTAACTTGGATCAGCTAAAAACTTGATGCATGACAGGTCCAATGGCGCTAGAAACAAGATGTACGCAGTCAACATCATGTTCAGAGCTGCTCATACCCATTGCTTCTTTACCACTAGGAAACCTGGAAGCAACACTGGGTGACAGAGATTATATAAATACTGTAGGTAAAATAAAGGAGAATATAAAAAAGTCACATACAAAAGAAGGCCACTCAGCCCATTGGGCTCATCTGATTCTATGTCTCTATAGTCCCTTTGAGAGTAGTGGATGTTATGTGAAGCACTAATCTGCAGGCCCTTGGAAAACAAACAAGGTGTTTTACTACATACTATAACAAAACTAATTTCGTACAATTTTAATCTTTTGAGGCTTTCCCTTAAACTTCTTTGTCCTTGAGTGCTACAATCTGCCCCTTTGATCTTCATGTTCTTTCATAAAGTGTTGTTGGAGTCTGGAACAAGCTACCCAGCCATTATGTCAAAGCCAATACCCCAGCTTCTTTCAGGAAATGGCTGGAAACAATCCTTGGATTACTCAGCTACTGACTCATGAGCTAGAGGAGCTGTATGGCCTCTTCTCATTTGTAACCCACATTCTTATGTTCATTATGTGGCACCAATGGAATATCTGCAATGAACATAGGAAAAGAAAGGCAAGGAAATAGCTTGTGTGCAGGAGCTTAACCAGGAAGTTCAGCCTGTCCTTCAGCAAAATACAACCTTACTAAACCAGTGGTTTATCAGGTATGGTGACATATACCTGTTACAGGATGCCATTTTTGGTATACTATCTGGAATACTTTAAAATTGACCAGTAAAACCCATACCCTCCCATTGATTCACTCAGAGTAACAGGCTCCTTTATTCACATAATCTGGGTGTATTTGGATATTTTGAGGGAATTCTTCAACTCTACTATGTTAGACAAAAATGACCCTCATTCTCCAGTGTTGCACTTCATGAATGACATGTATCACTAGATTGATCTGTGCAGAAGATTTGGCTGCCTGGCACTACTGCTCCGAAGAGGATGGAGGATGGTTGCTCAGTACTGGTGGTCTCCACATTCCCTTTCCTGTCATCATTTACAACACACATTGCACTCGTCGAGGACCCAGCAAGGCCGGGGTGTGCAGGTGCCTCACAATACAGAAGTGATAGTACCTTGTGCACTATTATCACATGTACTGTGAATAAAAATACCTTGAAGTTAGAGCAGAACTGTCATTTAATTCCTACTTATTTTATAAGAAATATCACTGGCAAAACATTTAGCTTGTTCAGTTTTCCTATCCTACCAGGACCAGATCCACAAGGAAAGATTAGACTTATTAAATTATTTAATTTTAATTTTGATAGGGTGGGTACAAATAGGTACTAGGTACAAAATTTGTACTAGGTACAAATTGTTGTACCTAGTAAATTAATATTTCGTAACAACTGTAGTCACTGTTAACTATTCCATTTGTGATTTAACAAGGCTGTAAAAGTAGGCAATATAAATCAATCCTAATAGTGGTAACTTTTTTTCACCCTATCTCAATATTAAAATATTTAGCTGTGAGGTGCTTGTGATATTTAGGTGTGAGGTGCTTAATCTGACCTACTGTATTAATAGCTTGTTTTGAAAAATCATTTTGCCAGCTAAAACTAATATTGGGATGATAAGATGTTTATCTGTCTCCTTGACCCAACACAAACCTGAGCAGAAGGGGGTTATGAGCACAGTGTCAGAAAGACTCAGTATTGAAATGGTGTGGATTACATAACAAGGGAGAAGCATATTTTGTAATTTTACTTCTTATCATCTTGATATTGATAGGGCATCAATAAAATCTCCACACTATTCATTATGGTCCTGTATGTCAACCAATTAAAATGGATTGTATTAAAATGCTACAGTTTTCAAAGAAAACTGTCACATGATGAGCTCAGCAGGCAACATCAAAATTGCAAGAGTGATAATACTGGAAAACATAAAGGGCAAATTAAAAACACATACCAGCATTCATCAGAGGGTTGCCAGCTTTGTCATTCGTCGTTCCATGTGAAGCTGACTCACACACTAGAGTACACTGCAAGAAAGAAAAAAGCTTTTGTTTCCAAATACTGATACTAAAAAGATATCTCCTTTTTTTCCCCAATTACTCATTTTTAATCCTAGAAATAGAATATGTTTTTTGCAAGCCTGTGACGTTCATGTCTTTCATCTATGAGAGATTCTCAACAGCCCTGAGCCTGTCCTGGAAGTCTAGGACTACGCTAGGCTATTATGCTACAGTGGGACAGCAGACCATTGCAGGACACTTGTACACAGAAAAATGTCAAGTTATAGATACCGGCCAACCAAGCCACCGTGTCTTTGGCAGGTGGGTGAAAACCATGTAAATACAGGGCTTTCTCAGGGTGCTCCAGTTTCTATGCACACTCTACCCAATAATGTTTGAGAACTGTTTGAATGGGGACAGCGTAGCACAATGAGTACATCAGACACATGACTGCTGTGCAGTGGGTTCCCACTACAGACACTCCTGTTGAACCTTGAGCAATGTACATTATCCTGGTCGCCCCAGTCTACACAGTCATATGAATGGGGACTAGCATTTCCTTTCTTTAAATACTACTAATCCTTGCTAGACAGATTTGTTGGTCATCCAATCCTGAGGTTGTCAATTACTGATCATGTTTTTGCTATTAGACACTGTACATTAAAAATCTAATGATGTGCTCTTTTGTTCTCATTTTTCCTTTATTATTCAGAACACAATTCTTATATTCTCTACCGAATTGAGCCTTTGTTCTCTTAATAATAACCCTAATTCTAATAGTTAGCTGTTTGTCAGCAGTCAATCCTGTAGATCCCTGTTTTGCAGCATAAAATATAACTTTGGATGTGTAGAAAGGAAGAAAGGATGTTCGTAATGAGGGACACCTGATACAAGTTAAATCACATTTGATGGATTAGTAACTACAACACTGCATATTGGCTGTTTGGGTTTTGTTATTATAATTATGTATGTAAAATATTTTGATCATATTCTGAAAGATTGGTAAATAACAACAAGGTCAACTAAATGAATAGTTGCCAAAGTTCTTATAACAGAATAATGCAGTAGTGGAAGCTTTGCATGAATATGCATATTTTACTTGTAACTCCTGAATGTGGTTAAAGACTTTTTCACAGCAGTGTTTATAAAAATATTCTCCTGCATATAAGATGTGTATGAGAAGAATAAGAACAATGTTACCACTTTCAATTTGCTGGCTGTTTGGCAGTGTAATTAGTGAGACAAGACATGACGCAGAAGTTATCACTATAATTCAGGCAAATTCACTTTGACATGCAGGGCTTGAAGGCAATCAAGTGTGATGCTGTACGCTTTGGGGGCAGGGCACATGCTCAGCCACCCATATAAGGACCACAGTAAATTACATAACTAGCATTAGAATAGCACTTGGGAAAGGAATTGAAGGCAGAAAGGCTTGATAATACTGCGATATTTAATTTTTACAGGGTAAAACAAATGTTTTTATAATTGTCACAAATACACAAACTTACTCTTTTTTGAAAGACGTCTATTCCGAGGAAATGTGATTACACAACTGAACAAGTAAGTACTGTATTGTAATACCATTCCATATTTCACAGTGAAACTGTCCATTTGTTTTGAGCCTAACCTATTTACAGTATTTGAAGATGCAACAGAGCTAGCAAGTTTGCCTGAACTATGGATTTGCACAGGTTTAGGAGCAACCGTTTTATCTAAAGAGTACAAGGAACAGCAGCCTCAAACACACATACAGTACTCTACACACATGTATGCACACAGATACTCACTCAGGGCTGTCTCAGGCAGATGAATCTCATTTAGTCACTCAACTAATGACATTTGAAGCCCTATAGTATTAAAAGCAATTCAGGCATCTGGAAGAGCCAATCAGTTGTAATTTAATTTGTGTAGCCAAGTGGCCAAGATCATACCTTCTGTCCCTGTGCATCTGTTGCAATTTGATCCACTTCTCCATCCTCTATCTCGCCCATCTTGAAACGGCTGACCACTACAGTGCCCACAGTGTTGGTACCATCTGATGTCCTGAAAGAGGCAAAGAGAAGGGGGAGTTGCTGAAATTACAATATAATTGACTTGTCAGGGCTGAAAGTAAATTACATTATTTTATATTACTTTTGACTGCTTTTTTTCCCCCACTTCATTGCCAGGGATTGCATGGCGATTATAATTACATCGATATAACAGTCTTTTTAAATGAAGAAAAATTACCCTTCCACATCAAGCAAGCACTTTTAATAATTGTGATTGATCTTCTTCAAATCATCTCTTTCCCACTTGCACTTAATAATTAGCAGATAAGCAAGCAGTACATTGGCTAAAGCCACTTAGGCTGGGAGGTAGGGATACTAAGATAAAGAGAAGAGCTGGTTGCTTCTAACAATGCACAGCAGGCTTTATTTTTACCTCCACATTTCCATAAAGATGCAGCTGCTCCTGTTGTATCCCTGAGCTAGAGGGTTGGTAAGTGAGGTGGACTTAAACCTCCACACACGCTAACAATGCCATCCCACAGCAGGGAAAAAATGACCTGGATTTTATAGCTTGTATTGCTGAGAGTATAAAAGCCATAACATAAGTGTAATATAATATACACTATACTACTGTATATCACATTACTCACAGTGTCTGTATATCCACACACTGTAGATGCATAAAGCAAAGATGTGTATGAAAGTAACCAACCAGGGCAGCAGTGGAAAAGCTGACAATTTAGTCTTTTCCACTGATTGCAAGGAAGATGCGAGTTGTTTTGTGATTGACCTCAAATTAACTTTCACAGCCTGAAAGAGAGGTGAAGGATCCTTTCTCCCACACATGGCAAAGCTACAGCTACAGCTGGTATTAAATCATGCCTTCAGATTGCTTGTGAGCACATTCTGTAAACTTATAATTGGCTTTTGGCCTCCTTATGACAGCAGTTAATCAAGGACCTTTGTTTAAATGACAAAAAAGACTAAATGAATGTGCTGAACCTTTCCTTAAATGAAGAATTGTTCAATGATTAAAGATTAATAACAAGCCTTTAGATTTCTGTATCTTGGCAAAACTTTTTTGAGAATGGAATTTTGTTATTTTGTAGCATTGTGTTACAAAGTTTACTTTTCAATGCGCATCACAAAAAGTTAAATAAACTGATTATGCGTATTTTAAATACTGATTAAATGTTTTGGTGGCACTAATTAATTGATTACTCATAATTGACTATGATACACACAAGTGGCTGTGACTGTGGCACAAGCACTCTATCACTTCATTAGTGAGAAAACTGATTGGGCAAAGGCGATGATGTAATTTAACCTGTTGAATGTCAAGTCTGGTGTAAATCTAGAAAGAGAACTACTCCTTTGTACAACCAGCATGTCGGAGGCTCAACAAATCTGTACTGTGACACACATCTGTTGTGTTTACAGGTGTCAGATCAAGTCCTCACTTGCCATCCTTAGTGCAGGCTCACCTTTAAGTGACAACATCTCAACAGAACAATGCATATCCTTGTATGGCTTGTATAACAATATTTTTTGATGTAAAATAACAATGTGCAATGGATGCCCAGCCCTATTCAACTAAAATAAACATTTCTGAGTACAGCATTAGACAACATGTGACATCTAGGGCTTAGAGACCAGTGAACAGGCACATGCTTGTCTAAGCTATACAAGAGGAATGGGACCAAATCCAACAAGCTGGAGGTATAAGATGTACAGTTTGTACTCCTTCCAACAGTACAGTAGATACGTAATTTACTAGTCTGTAGCTTTCACAGTAGCCCCCTTGTTAATCCTCTCTGTTAATTAGAAATGTTAAATGGCACAATAATAAACATACAGTACTGTACTTATGCCATGGCAATGCAATAAAATACCAGCGCACCTGCTACAGAAAAGATTTTCCTTGCAAATGTGTTGTAGATATAATTGAGAATTTACATTTTCTTCTTTCTGATTCTAAATGATGACAATCATTTAGTAATAAATACATGACTACAAATCTCACATTTCTGCAAAGAAATGACCAATACTTCTTAATTACAAAATAACACAAAGCTTTAGGGTAATATTGATTGAAAACAGGTAAATATTTATCTTATTTCTTATTGCACATACATTCTTGTCCTTCTCCTCTAACCAGTTTTTACTTACTGTATAGTACATCGTTTAAATCACATTTCCAAGGGTATGAAAAAGCAAAAATAACACACAAAACACATCAAAACTTCACAATTAATTATTTACAAGTACAGTGTGGAGAGATGTAAAAAATCTACACTTAGTAGATTTGCAACATAGTGTTAATAGCAATGACAAGGAAAACAGCCAGACATAACACGAGATACTGTAAATATGTATATGTGACGGATCTCTCTTTGATGATATCAAGCATTAGGGAACCTGCATGCATTAAACTCTTTTAGACCTTAAATTAGGTGGTGACGGGCCCGTCACTTGCACCTGTAATCTTCTCATCCTAACGAGTAGTAGAGGTGGAAAACTTCCATAACTTAAGTCATTTCCGTGTGGCTGGTGTTGCTCTTACCATCTACTTATCGGTGAGCTGATCAGTGTGGCTGCTTCTTTTCAAAAGCCTTCCCCTGCACTCAATAACCTAGAAACCTAAAGTCTCTGCTTGATTCATAACCAGCAATCTAAGGTCTCCCCTTTAGACTAGAAACATAACCTGCAGCCTCACCATGAGACTCAGTCACAGTCTCACAGACTGTGTGAAGACAGTCTGGGTTAATGTGCAGTCTCACTGTGACACTTCATGCATCACGCTACACGGGTCTCCCCTTTAGACCCAGGCAAACAGGAGCCTCACTGCAAGATTCTAAATGCCCCAGTGCCTGGTGGGATTGTGATCTTTCACTCATTCAGGAGTCTCTCTGTTTCTCACTGTACCCCTGACACCCAAACCTGGGCCGACCACCGCCGCACACTCACTGAACCCTTATGTACAGTAGGCAAGACCTGCCCCCAACAGGTGATGTCAAGTCCCTAATAACCCTGTGAATATTCACACTTTTTTCTCACTCATTTTCACACTCCAGCTGTGGCTGCTTGGTTACAGCCTGATATAAATATGATACGATTGGTGATGAAAATAAAAAGTTATTGGAAGTACACAGTGATCAGCTCTAACCAGATGAATTGTCAGGTTGTTGGACAAATGCAACACGCAGTGTTGGGAGGAATACTGTATATCCATAACGTTTGTTTAATTAGCTACAGTGAGTGTGGACACAGAGGTTCATTGTGCAGTGAAAAATCCCAAAAAGATTTTGCATGTGCCAGCCTGCAGCCCTGTTTCAGTGAAAGACGGCCCTGCAGAGGAGGTGTGGGGAGTAAGAGAACCATCACCTGCAGAGACGTCCCTGGATCAAGTGGGAGGATTGGAAACCTGTTTAAGGAGTGCTCGTTTGGCAGATCCTGAATCAGAGACCCGCCAGTGTCAGAGAACTTTGGATAAGAACTGCGTATTCAGCACTGACATTTGATTACTCCAAGGGCTTGTGTTCTGACATCATTGGTGGTGGTGTCTTATCAATTACCTTTCATCTGAACGAACATTTTTTATATATGGAGAAAAGTCTAAACCTACTGCAACACTTCAGTAGTAAGGTACAGTGGTTTTGAAATTCTTCTGTTAATAATAAACAGTAACACGAAATCCGTCCAATATAGCATCATAATGCGTTCCTCGTATAGGTCACATTAAAGATGGAAATTCCTTTGCAAGGTCACATTAAAGATGGAAAAATGTCTGACATGATTTATCTTGATTTCTGGCTTTACATCACAAAAAACGGCAATTTCAATAAGGGTTTTTAGACTTTTTATATCCACTGCATATAGCACTACCATGTTTATGTCTCTTTAACAAACAGTCATCTAGGCAGTTTTAAGAAGTCTATAAGGTAACCGCCACAGGCATTCTGAGGCTAACAAGCGAATGTCGACATACAGCCACAGTACAAACTAACCTAAGTAAAATGAGAAACTGAAGATAAAGAGTAAGGGAGGAGGGAAAATGGCTATTATAAATCTTGTCTTCTGTATAAAGAACAGGTAGTCCTGAAATGGTTCACAATTCATAGTCTCGTTCATTTTGATTACTTTTTGAAAGCATTTATATTTAATGAAAACATTAAGAATCCTGTCACTTGGAGAAAAAAGGTTAAGTGCTTCAATTATGGAAGAGTTTCCTGATAATTACATGTAACTACAGCACTTTGTCATGAAAATGCAAACCTGCCTTTTTCAGTACAAGACTTACAGTGGTGTGAAAAAGTGTTTGCCCCCTTCCTGATTTCTTATTTTTTTGCATGTTTGTCACTGAAATGTTTCAGATCATCAAACAAATTGACATATTAGACAAAGATAACACAAACATAAAATGCAGTTTTTAAATGAAGGTTTTTATTATTAAGGGGAAAAAAAATCCAAACCTACATGGCCCTGTGTGGAAAATGTGATTGCCCCCCCTGTTAAAACATAAATCAATTGTGGTTTATCACATCTTTGGAAAGCTGAGTTCAATTTCTCTAGCCACACCCAGGCCTAATTACTGCCACACCTGTTCTCAATCAAGAAATCACTTAAATAGGACCTGCCTGACAAAGTGAAGTAGACCAAAAGATCCTCAAAAGCTAGACATCATGCTGCGATCCAAAGAAATTCAGGAACAAATGAGAAACAGAGTAACTGAGATTAGTCTGGAAAAGGTTATACTGTTAAGCCATTTCTTAAGCTTTGGGACTCCAGCGAACCACAGTGAGAGCCATTATCCACAAATGGCGAAAACATGGAACAGTAGTGAACCTTCCCAGGAGTGGCCGGCCGACCAAAATTACCCAAGAGCGCAGCAACGACTCATCCAAGAGGTCACAAAAAACCCCACAACAACATCCAAAGAACTGCAGGCTTCACTTGCCTCAGTTAAGGTCAGTGTTCATAAGAAAGAGACTGGGCAAAAATGGCCTGCATGGCAGAGTTCCAAAACGAAAACCACTGCTGAGCAAAAAGAAC